AATGGGAATGTATATGAGGACCTTGATGACCCATATTTTTCTCTAATTCCTAGAATACTATATGTAAAGGGATATCTCTGATTTACAGACTGCCAAGTCAAGATTTCTAAATTTCTTGGCAGGAATTTGGTAATACAATACTACTTTGATTATGACTTCTTATATCTGGTGTAAATATATTCCCTGTGTGCGTATACTTTTTAGATCCAATAAAAAAAAACCATGACTCTTCCCATTTTTTGCTCCTTTTTCTTTAGGAAAAGGATCTGTGAAGTCATAATCATGCTGAACTCTCTCTGGCAACTGGGAAGTCCTTTATTTTTGTGCATTTAGAACTCACCAAGAATAAATAAAGTCCAGTCCCTCCTCAAGGAGCAATTCTGCCACTCCATTCAGAATTTCACTATTTGCCAATTCCTAGAAGATTTAGTGGTGTGAACAGTTTTGTGCCCTTAAGAAGGTGGGCCTTCTAAAATGAGGTAAGGGGAAATAATCTCAAAGCATATGGGAAAAAAATCATCATCATCTGTAAGAAAGAGCAACACATTCGCTAGCTTTTAAGAACTTATAATTATCATTGTTGGTTAATTGGTGCTATAGATTACCCAGGACTGACATGTAATTTTCTAAAACAAAGAGCTTTTTATCATGTTACATTATGCTGTGGATTTAGGGACTTTTTAATTTTATTTTTACACATTGGAGAACAAAGGGCAAAAATCTTGCAACATGCAAGGATTTAGATAATAAATTGCACCCTAAATTTAGAAAATATCTCAGACAATACAGAATGATTCATAGTAAGAATTTGTAATCCCGGAAAGGCAAGTTACTGGGACTTTTGTTTATAAATAAGCTAGCTTTTCTTGACTCAAATCTGGATGAAAGCCAGACCATTAATGAACATTTCTTTAGCTTTACACAGATCTTCAAAAAGATCAGAAATAGGGTATAATTTTTATGTTTTAGAGGAAGATGTATTTAATGCTTGCACATACATTTGAACAATAGCGTTGTTATTACTGTAACACACCTAGGCAGATAGTATTTTTCTTTTAATGTCCATTAAAACAGCGATCACCTAAACCCTATGAAAAATTCAACATTTCCATGTTGATTAGTCTGGTTTTAATTCATGGATGCAATCACTTCTCTTATAAAAATTTTAGGAGGAACTAACCTGTCCTTGAAAGATAACCCTGTTAGTTTGAGAATGTGAGCAGGTACAGATTGGAGATTGTGGTTTCACAGTGTGTCCTCAAGAAGTAACTCTGGATTTGCTATTCAATGGTTTCCTCACTGTCTGGCCAATGACAAAACGTTTCTGAGGAGAGACACTTAACTGGGTCTCCGTTGTTTAAAGAACCAGGCTCCTCCTGTAACAGCAGGTATGAAGATCAGAAACAAAAATTGGGAACCCAGACCAGGGGTCCTCAAACTACAGCCTGCGGGCCACATGCAGCCCGCCTAGGACATTTATCTGGCCCGCCGGGTGTTTTTGCCGCCATTGCCTGTCCTGCTTAGCAGCCGACTCCTCCCCGGGGCCCGCAGTCCGGCCCTCCAATGGTTTGAGGGACTGTGAACTGGCCCCCTGTTTAAAAAGCTTGAAGACCCCTGGCCTAGACAAAGGCATTAGGACTTTGTAAACACAGATGTCACGCCTCAGTTTGAATGGATTGATGATAAAGCTGCAAAGCAAACTTTGGAATGAACCCAAAAGATTCAAAGTCTTTATAAATTAAAGAGATAGTTTACAAAGTTTCAGTATTTTACATGTAGTTACCCAGTTCTCCTGGCAAACTAATACAACCTTTTTGGGAGGAAGGATGGAGAATCCCCAGAGAACTCAAACTAGACCTCCCATTTGATCCTGCAATCCCATTAACTGGACCTCTACCCAGAAGAAAACAGATCTTCTTACCACAAGGACCCTTGCACTAGACTGTGTATCACAGCACAATTTACAATTGCGAAATTGTAGAAACAACCTAAAGGCTCACCAATACAGCAATGGATTAACAAGCTGTGGTATATGTATACCACGGAATACTATTTAGCTAATAAAAAAAGATGGTGTAACACATTCCTCTTCGTAAAGCATCACAAGAATAGAGAGGCAAGAATCCAATGTACTCCATTCTGATATGAGGACAATGGACAGGGGGAGGGGGAGGGGAATGAGGGAGCCACGAGAGAGGAGGAGGAAGGGGTGGGGGGTTTATAGTGTATGATATAACTCTTGGGGTAGTACTCAACTATAACAGGGACTTTGCCTAACAAATGCAAGCAATGTAACCTGGTTCTTTGTACACTCAATGATTTCCCAACAATAAAAAAAGAAAGAAAGAAAATAGAGAGAGACCTTCAAAGCCCACCATATCTAAGATAAGCTTCTTTTTTGAATTTTATTCCTTAAATAATACCACATACGGAGATGAACTCATGAAATTTGCATTCAATAATTGATGACTTTTTGACATTTATTTGAAGTTTCCTTTGGGGGAAAATGGCCCAACCAGTACTCTGGAATCACTTTGTAATTAAGCAGCCCTTTCCAGGTGCCATATGCAATCACCAAATCTAAGGTCATGTGTTTTATAGTGTTTTAAACCTTTTTAAATCTCAAATTTTGGGATGATTAACATTTTTCTTAGAGAAAAAGACAGTGAAAGACAGGCAGTGGTAGTGTCCATTTGGACATAAGCAGCCACTGAACCAGAGAGGGCACGTCACCAGCATTCAGGTGGACGGATTCACCAGGCCATGTGGGCTTTACCTACAGTGAATAAATACAGCCAAGAAGCGATGATGAAAACATGTGTAAAGACAATGTTAAATGAAGCAAACAAAATAAATTTTAAATGTACATTAAATAAATTAATAAAAACAAAAGGAATCTTGACATGCCATAGGCCTGTAGTCCCAGCTACTCAGGAGGTTGAGGCAAGGGGATTGCTTGAACCCAGGAGTTTGTGGTGATGCCAGAGCACTCTAGTCAGCCAAGAAAGTGACACCCTATCTCAAAAAAAAAAAAAAAATCATAATAAGAAAGAGAAAAAGAAAATGCAATGAAGATAAGGTCACTGCCTCCATCTGGGCATTCTTTATAGTTATCTTCATAAGGACTTAGGGGTATGGAAAACTGGGCCCAATGACTAATATATAACCAGCATACCATAAGTGAGTCTATTACTATGAATTTTATCATTATCACTAGTTCTACCATAATTACATAGAAATGATTATTTCTCCCCAAAATCAAACAAAGGGAATGTTAGTATAAAACTGCTTTGAACTAAAGATATACACATATACACACACATATGTGTATATATATACACACACACACACATATACATACATGTGTTTAGAATTTTTGACTCAGCTGATGGGAAAAAAATAAGAGAAATGAGGGCATCTTCTAGCATCTTTCAAATCACACAATACAATTGGTTACGTAGTCTAAAGGCTCACATTCTATGCTTAGTGGCATTCATATTTTCACAGGGGTTGTTTTCTGAATCCAGGGCATTATTCTAATGTCTAGAACATTTCACAGGACTTCAAAATCATTACTAGTGACAACTAGGTTCTTTGAGTTATGCAATAAGACTGAAGCCTCTTGTTCACTAAATAAGTGATTAGTATGTTTAAGAGCTATTAAATCGGCTCGGCGCCTATAGCTCAACCGGCTAAGGCGCCAGCCACGTACACCTAAGCTGTCGGGTTCGAATCCCCAGCCCGGACCCGCCAAACAACAATGACGGCTGCAACCAAAAAATAGCCGGGTGTTGTGGCCGGTGCCTGTAGTCCCAGCTACTTGGGAGGCGGAGGCAGGAGACTCGCTTGAGCCCAGGAGTTGGAGGTTGCTGTGAGCTGTATGCTATGGCACTCTGCCCAGGGGGATAGCTTGAGGCTCTGTCTCAAAAAAAAAAAAAAGAGCTATTAAATCAAACTCTGCCAGGTTTTTTTTTTTTTTTTCTGCCAGGTATTTTTGAAAGATGTGTTAATTGTTTCCACTCATTTGCTAAATAAGAAGGTGGAGACTCTCAGGAATCTTCGAGCAGATGCTCTATTCTGTAGTTCATGGAACAGGTTAACCCCAGCTGGAAGAATTCAATAAAGTATACTTATCCTTGCCACACGGGGGGCCTTGTCTATTGCAGAAGCTACAGCAGCTAGGGCTGACTTCCATTACCACCCGGCTTTATCTTCCCTCTGTACTTAGAGTCACATGAATGCTATTGAAAGAAAATTCTATAATGTTCACTGATGTGAGCATCAGGTTCAAAACCTCGGCACACAAACCCTTCCACCTAGCTCCACAAATTCTGGAAGGTCCAGGATCTCTCCAGCACTAGTAAATCATTACTTAATAATTAGATCAATCTGCTTGGTGCCCAAAGCTCAGTGGTTAGGGAACCGGCCACATGCACTGTAGTTGGTGGGTTTAAACCCAGCCCTAGGCCTGCTAAACAACAACAACAACACACACACACACACACAAAGCTGGGTGTTGTGGCGGGCACTGTAATCCCAGCTACTTGGATGCTGAGACAAGAGAATCACTTGAGCCCAAGAGTTTGAGGTTGCTATGAGCTATGACGCTACAGTACTCTACAGAGGGTGGCAAAGTGAGACTCTGTCTCAAATAATACTTAGGTCAGTCCATATTTACGTTTGCATGTTCAGACTACCATTGTACCTAGCAATATTTATTTAACTGACAGAAACAATTCCTGTCTTCTAACTATATCAAGGAAAATTTCTCCTTTGCCACACAATTTTAGAACATTTATTTACACATCCTGGAACTACAGTCATGTTTTTAAGTTAACAACTTTTAAGTGATATAAGAAGTACTCTAAGTTCATTTTGTTATAGCTGTATTTGTCATTTTAGAAGGAAACTTCTGCCCAGAAAATGTGAAAGAAATAATCTCTGAAGACCTTGATGTTCTTTTTTTTTTTTTTTCTGCTTAACAGACCTTTATTGTTAAGAAAAATATGGACTGCCTCACAAATTAGCGTGTCATCCTTGCACAGGGGCCATGCTAATCTTCTCTGTGTTCCAATTTTAGTATATGTGCTACCAAAGCAAGCACGACCTTGATGTACTTGACTGTTCAAAAATTCTTTAAATAAAATATAATATGGAAGCTGTGTTCTGAATGTCAAGACCCTTTCACTGTTGAGCCTTTGCTACTGGCCTCTGAGTGGAGGTTTTTCCTGGTTCTTGGTGATCGTAAGGAGAAAAGAATTTCAAAATGCACCGTGCTCACCAAGCAAGGCACAGCTTTTTATTGAAAGTGAAAGTATACTCTCAGGGGAGAGAGCGCGGCCAAGCTTGAAAGAAAGCAGTCGCATTGGGCAGAAGTAGTTTTTGGTTTTTTGAAGTCTTATTCATTGAGAAGAGGCCTATTCAAGGCTAAAGCATTGGCTTTCAGTAAGAAGTTGGGTTGTGATTTTTAGACTTGGGTTCCCACCTCTTTTCATACTTTACCTGGTTGTTTTCAGAACAGTCATGGTGATTGCAAGGGGGGAGAACTTGTAAAACCACAACATAAACAATAGTATAATCAGCCCAAGTCCACGTAAGGTGACGGAGATAGCTGACAAGCCGGTGGAAGCCAGCTCTTGCCTGTGGTTTTCATCCCCTCTAGTTAGCTTCTGCCTGGGGGCTGTTTACTTTAACATCTGCACCCAGTTTTCAAGCCCCTGCAGCTTGTCTCAGCCCTATGACCCAGTCTTCTTCTCTTGAACCTTCTCAGCCAGAAAATAGGCTCAAAATACAGAGGATGCCAAAAAATGTATACACATTTTAAGAAAGAAAAAAACTATGTTAAAATCATAATACTCAATGTCTACTGATAACAACAAAAAAAATGAATGCTAATCATGTCGACTTCTGCTCAACATGGTTACCTAGCATCCAGGTACTTGCAATCACTGCAAACTATTGCTTGAGCAATGTTGACCAAAGTGCCCACGTGCATGTGGATTGCTGTGCACGCCGTGTCAATTTGTTCCAAAATACCACAATTGCGGCTGGTTTTCAATTGTACACCACATCCTTTGAGGTTCCCCATAGGTAGAAGTCAAGGGGTTTTAAGTCAGGAGAACATCAGAAAAACTCAACCACACATGTTTGTCATGTCCACTGTCCTGGCAATTTACCATCAAGGTAAGCCCTCACGTCTCAGGGGAAGCATGATGGAGTACCCTCTTATTGGAAGTAAAGTCAAATCTTTCCCAAAAAGTGCACAAACGTGGATGTGTGTAGCATGTTTAGAAACACTTGACCAGTAATGGTCCCTTCTAAAAAGAATGGCCCATTAGTCTCCTTAATGACGGTCCCTACCAGATATTGAGGACCAGTAAATGAACTTCTTTTTCCACATAAATGAATGCAATTCTTAGGTGTGTTGGAAGTTCTGTTGCATATTCATGCCTCCATTATCGTACTTCCACAATGTTCTCAACTTTCGAATACTACTTCAAAATATCCTCAAACAACACCCATGCTTCTGCTGTTTTCTCAGACTGTCCTGCCTGTTGCATGGTGATGCCGCATTCATTTAATTAATGCTGTCTTTTGAATGAATATTATACTACACATTGCTACCATAATTCAATTCTACTTAGAACAGTCATACATAGATAACACCTCTTAAAATGCGCATACATTTTTGACCTTGTCAGAAATTAGAAAATTACTTTATCCACTTTTTTCTCTAATAATGAGGTGATTATTATAAGCAGAACCGTAAGTACTCAAAAAGAAGATATGGATTCTTTATGAAATTAATTCAGAAAATTGGCACTATGATCTTAAAAATCTCCTAAATCATATCTGTATTTCTCTCTCTACATATTTGCCATGAAACATATAGTGTATGAAAGAAAATGAATGCAACTTTATTGACATATTTTCCTGAATTATCAGTTGATTCATAAATAGGTCATTACAGTCTGTAAAAATCAATGCAGAATGATCACAGTGAGGGGATTAAGGTTCTGATACTTCAGGGGAATCACACATGAGAGATGGAGCACTCATGATAGAGCACTGTCTATCTGGTGCTTCCAAGATACACAAGGACTCCACGGAAGGTCTACACTGGACCAAGGTTAATAAACTCATGAACAGAAACCTGATTCTGAAATCTGGTGAAAAAGATGGAACAATCTGCTGAACATTGCTGGCCATCCCCAAGAAAACTGTGATTGAATAACAATTGAAGACGATAACAACACAGAAAACATTGTAGTAAATCAATGTGACCTGGGAATGTGTTTTGTGTCACACTGAATTCTCCTTGGTGCCAGCAGACAAGGTGGTAAGGTTTCATGAGGGATGGAGGGATCCACTCCCCAACTCTTCCATAGATGCCCAAAAGTACTAAGTTATCACTGACCCAAATAAGTGACCAAGGCAAAGATCTCCATCAATGGAGGTTTATTAAGCCAAAGTTGAGCACGTGAACAGGAAACAGATCTGTATTTGTTTTCCCAGAAGGGGAATTTGGAAGCTTCAGCATTTAAAGGCACACAAAGAGAAGGAAAAAAGCAGGGTATCGGTCAATATGGGACTGTTGTACCTACTAAGAAGAGAAGGTGTTAGGTAGGGTCTAGATGTAGGATGTTAAGGGGATTTTAAAACATAATTGATATTTTGCCTGGTGGGACCTGATTTTGTAAGCCTGCAAAATGTCTCAGTATTATTCCTTGTTTATATTATTTATGTAAATCTTATTTCTCAATCAACTTACTCTTTTATATTTCTATCTTCAAAAGTTTTCAACATTTATGACCTCAGAACACATTGTAATCATTTATACATGAAAATTAAGTGATGTTTTTGGAGTTTGTCCATGGAAACAGTGATAGAAGACTGGTTGACTTTTTTGCTGGGAAAGATTAATTAATTGAATTAATCATTGGCTTCACCACCATGTAGACCAGTCACAGTGAAGACAAACTGACTTTTCTTACATTCCTACATACCCACCCTTACACGCCTTAACTGGGTCAATTTTGCTTGGAGGCAGGATTATTGTTTCCCGTAAAGAATTTACATGTCCCAGATTAACCCAATTTTTTTTTTGCAAGTGCCGCATGAACAATCTAGTCAAATGCCTAAATGCTCAAAAGCTGCTTTGAGAAACATGCTGAAAAGTGAAAACAAGGTTATAGGGATGTGAACACAGGGACCACGAATGAGGTGTTCACTAAATGTAGCAGAAAGCTTGCTATAGAGGCAAAAAGATGGATAAAGCAGCAATGCCTTGGCCCGTGTTGGGCCAAGACTGGAGACAGTGGGGAGTGCTGTCCCCTCTGGAAATGAGGAAGCCATTTTCAGTGTAGACTCCAAGTCAGAAGATTCTACACCTGCCTCTTGAAGCACTTCATTCCTTTCTCTGAAGCCAGAACAGTTCCTCTACCCGGGAGTGGGTGAATCTGGGGTGCTGTTTCTCTGCTTCCTCGTGCAATTCGATTGGCATATAAAGATGTTGCTATAGGTCTCTGGGTACTTCAGTTTCTTTTGCCTAAAATAGGCTTCCAAAATTAGAAAACACGAGCTTAACTCTTAGAACAGCTGAGGAGTTTACAACCTTAGAAGACATAGCTCTGTAATTCTGAAATAACTCAAAACCTATTTTGAAATTTCTCCTTCCCCAGTCTTTCTTCTTCCAACATATAATGTTTTCTCAAGGGAAGACTCGTAAAAGCTTCGCAACAGAGAAAACTCTTAGGAGAGAAGCGGAAAATTACAGCCATATCAGTGAAACCTACAAATCCAGAAAAATACATAAAAAGAGAAGAGATGCTATTCCTCTGGACGGATACATTCGCCACGTAGCACATGGAAGGTCCTCTCACTCGGGTTCACTCTGACCCCCACATGAGGAGGCCCCTCCAATGTTCTTACATTCACCCGCTTGCTTGTCTTCATAACGCTTTGCCACCATCTGACATTGTGCTGTTTTTGTTTGTGTAGCTACTGACTCTTCCCTAACCCCCACCTGAATGTAGACACTCTAGATCAAAGCCCCTTCACTCTTCAGCTCGGTATCTGGCACACAATGGACCCCGAATAATAAGTGATAACTAAAGGAATGATGTGAGATGTCCCATCATTCCATGACAGTGCTCGTCTCCCCTCTGTTTGACATTAAACCCCAGCAAAGATGTGCATCTATCAAAAAGTGAACATATACTCCAATCTTACAAGTTGGGGGCATTCTCCTTTGGAACACTCCTGCAAGTTTCCTGTTAATGCATATTGAAAGCAATTTGAAAAATGCTCTAGGTCTTTTAACAGATACTTGTATTTAATAACCACAGTAGCCCTTAAGGATTGTCTAACTCACAGCCCTTTATCTACCAACAGAGAAATTAAAGTTGAGTGACTGACTTTTGTTGCCAGGGTCACAAGCTTGTCTTAGCTTGAGCCTATTTAGAATCCCATGTCTCTCCTCTCCTAGATTAGAGCTCATTTTATTACTGTCACTGCTGGACAAAGAAATGGACAATTACTGAGTGTCTAACATGTTTCCATGTTACCAAGTTCTCCTGGTAAACAACACCAGGTTGCTGTTACCAACAGCCATTTCTTCTTTTCCCAAATTTTTTAGTAAGCAGCCTATCACTAACTCTGGAGTGGGATTCTCTTTAGTCTAAACTTAATTCATGCTTAGCAAGTCCCTAATAACTATGTTTGGTCTGGTGGTGTCCATGTAATATAATTTGGTCAATGGAACTGAAGGGGAGAGAGGAGCCCTGCCTGGAGGAGGTGGTTCTCTCTCTATCTTCCCTTGTCTTCTGCTAGTTCAGACACCTGCAGCCCTGAGTGCTCCTGACAGCCATCTGTGGCCATAAAAGAGAATATTCTCAGGATGACATTCTGCTGAAGATAGTAGTGTCACTCTTTACGTTCAGGGTCAGAAAATTCTTTCTGCAAAGGGTCAGATGGTAAATACTTCAGCTTTGCCATCCTGATGGTCCATGGTTCCTGTGGCAAGTGTTCAACTTGGCCATTACAGTGCCAAAGTCACCAGAATGTCATGGCTGTGATTCAATAAAATTTTATTTTGAAAAAGTG